AAAAACCGTACCTATGTTTTCACCATGACAACTACAAAACCATAGTATATACTAATTAAAAACACAGTCATTGTAAACAAGGAACCCAACATAAACAAACGAAAAATACAAGGAATCCATCATAATTGAACAAAACAACCCTACTCTAAACCAACACCCCTGTATGCCAAGATACATCTTCTAAGTTTTGCAACAGTATTCGGTCATGTGACCTCTTTGTTCAATACTGAATATATATCTGTGTCAGTGTAAGTTACTTGTACCTGATGATAATAAAACCTTGTCGAAACATTGTACATTTGCTGTTATCTTAAACTTATATTAAAGATTTTCTTCATATACCCATTCAAGCCGTCTCCAACCATTATTAGACTTGCCATGTTCCTTCGGCTCGGTCTCGGTGTTTTATTCAGCAATTTCTTTAAGAAGGATTAAGAAACTTGGTTTAAAGTTAGTTGGATAATTCGAGAATTTCTGAAATCATGATAGAGTTTCGGTTAGAGGTGAACCATATCTGTCAATATTAGGTCGTAATATCATTTCATAATACACAGTCTAAGCATGAGAAGAACTAGTTGATTAACTTTAATTGTTGGAATAAGAATACACTTTTCAAAGTGTTATAACTGATTTGGATTCTTTAGTAGACTGGCATAATTTTTAAATTAGCTCAGATGAAAATTCAATTAAGTTCCTTAAAAGATAACTACACCACATATAGAAAATAAAAACAACAACTAATTTTAGTAGTATTTTACTATTTATAAGGTCATAAAATATATTTGTTGTAGCTGTAAGACAGCCATAACTCTTGTTTCCCTTCTCAATATTTATCTTTTTCTTTAGGGTGTCGAAATAATGTTTTTCTGAATTATTTTGAATTAAAAAGGGTATGTGTACATAAAGTTATTTCTTTCCAGACAGGATGAAAAATGCCCAAGTGATGGAATTTCGTTCTTTTATATAATTAATTACATACTTATCTATATTATTTAAACAGGGCTTTCAACGAAAATGTTTTACAATATGGATATCCTAGTAACAACAAAAAAGTCGGATGGGATACAACAAACACAGTAGTGTCATTGCATTAACTGTGACGAAACTTTGATTTGAGCTCTCTAGTCATGCCCCCAGTGGATCAGCGGTAACGCTAAAAACCGAGTTTCGATATCCGTGATAAGTACAGAAAAGATAGCGCATTGTATACCTTTGGGCTTAGCTATAAACAAGCAAATCTTTCTTTGTGAATCTTGTTTTTTTGTTTCAGCTACGAGTAAATTGTTGAGCCTTGTGAGCTACGAGAGAATTGTTGAGCCTTGTGAGCTACGAGAGTATTGTTGAGCCTTGTGAGCTACGAGAGAATTGTTGAGCCTTGTGAGCTACGAGAGTATTGTTGAGCCTTGTGAGCTACGAGAGAATTGTTGAGCCTTGTGAGCTACGAGAGAATTGTTGAGCCTTGTGAGCTACGAGAGAATTGTTGAGCCTTGTGAGCTACGAGAGAATTGTTGAGCCTTGTGAGTTTTTTTTTTCCTGGTTTCTTGACTAGCCAGTCTATGTTTGTTTTTTCTAATCACAAAGCTAGTTAGTCGTCCGTATAAGTTTTTTCTGTATGTCTCAAACTAACAATTGAGCCTCTTCTTTCGAGAAGGGCTACAAATAATTTATCCTTTGGTCCATGAACTTGGTATAAGAGATTATGAAAAAATAAAAGCCATTAATTGTCAAGCAGGGAGAAATTGTTAGAAAGACTTATAGATCAACGAAACCATTATTGTTGTAGTTCTTACGAGAGGTTTACACTGTTAGAAGCATATATCACTTACTACTTTATTAAACAATGTAGTCATACTTCTATAACTGCTCAATTATCTTAATATACTTTAAACGCCTTGTAATGACACCATTCCTGTTGCCTATATGTTATAGTAAAGTTATATTTAATTTTTTTCTTATTGCTAATTTCATTATCAGTAATGTTTGAAATGCTTAATATATATAAATTATTTGTGTTTATTATTTTTCATTTGTTAAACATGTATATTCTGTATTATTAGCTCAGTATATGTATTTAGGACAAACTTAAATATCTTAAGATGACCGAATATTTTGAGATATTATTGGGATTACGACCAAAAATAACAATAACAAAGGACGTACATAAATGATGAATATATGCCTTCTAATGATTATAGGTTTCTGTTTCGTGATATTCTATACAACCAACAAGATCGATACATTAAATTTGCGCTGTCATTTACTGAGTTCATTGTTTGTTTTGATATATGTAGTTAAATATACAAGCGATTCACTGATTAAGGTTGATGGCGAGCGCTTTAAAAGTGAGGCATAAAAATACAATAAAGTCTCTGTTTTATTTAAAACACGAGGATTAGACGGCCATTTTACAATACAAACACTCAAACACGAAACCCATAAAGAGATATAGAGTCTATGATGATTGTGTTTAAAAGTAGAATAAGTTTTTATTCTGATTTTTAGTGAGTTACTAGATAAGAATGCCATTTTCTTCTTCAATCTATTCGTTTTTAGTTTAAATTGTAGTTGCTGGGATTAAGAAAAGAAAATTACTTGTATTTTATAACATACAATAGACGTCCTTAACATAAGTTAATGCTATACGTTAACCAGCAAATAAAGATAAAGAAAAATATCCAAATATCACAGTTAAATATAAGATTAATAAATAAAATTGTTCTGTATAACGTCTCGTCATTAATGTTTATAATAATGAAGGATTATTTTTTCTTTGTTTAGAATTAAAAAGAAATATATATCACAAACTAGTTCGAAATTACAGCAAACTGAAGATCCTACGTTGCTCAAAGCAACAACGTAAAAAAAAGCACCAGCTGTCTAGATGCACTCTCAATGTTTTTCTTAGTAGGACTTTCTTTTTCTTGTTACTGTTAAACGGTTGTCTCGCCAGGACGCTCCTGAAAATGACTGGAAGGTATGCAATCGAATTAAAACCCCATATTTATCACATTTAGTTGTAAAAACTAGAAATTGTTTAATAAAGAGTTTATCAATTCTTTCTTCGTTCTTTATATCTTTACTCATATCATCTTCACCTAATCATATTACTAAATACTTTCACAGTGCTTTCAGTTAACTTTGTTTTGCTAAACGATATTTCCTCTGACAAAATCAAAACAAAAAATCCGAAAATTCAAAGAGCTTAAAATTAAGAATATAAGTCTGTTATGTCAATGACCGGATTTTGTTTTCAAAAATAATAAATAATGCTCTTATATGCCGGGAGCTATTTAAAAACGCAAAACAAAATATTGTAAGATATTTCTCAATATCAAATTTTCCGGCAGATAGGGATTTAGAAATGAAAGTTTTAAGAAGATAATATTTAAAAAAATGTATTTGAAGTTTCTGAGTAAACCAAGTTTATGCAGTTTTGTTTTACCTTTTTCTAACTGGTATGTGGTGTTTGTCGTTATCTAGAAGATTTACCAATATCGGGTTTTTTTTAAAGTAAACAGTTTATTAATTCAAATGTATGTTTAATTTTCGTTTTTATCAGGTAAAATATAAAATGATGCTAAACTATTTTCTTTATGATATCAATAAAATGTAAAATATTAGTGAATGGTTAGGCCTTATAAACGAAGTTTCATTATGCAGTATATTAGATTTTGTTCGTTTAAATTGCTAGTGGGATTTGTTACAATAGAATGACGTCATAAGAAAAGGTTTGGTCAATAAATAGTGCTCTTTTACTTGTTTTTAAGCGTAAAACCACATAATGGGGCCAGGCACTTGACTCGCAATCTGAGGGTCGCGGGTTCGAATCCCTGTCACACCAAACATGCTCGCCCTTTCAGCCGTGGGAGCGTTATAATGTGACGGTCAATCCCACTATTCGTTGGTAAAAGAGTAGCCCAAGAGTTGGCGGTGAGTGGTGATGACTAGCTGCCTAAATTAGGGACGGCTAGTGCAGATAGCCCTCGTGTAGCTTTGCGCGAAATTCAAAAACAAACAAACCACATAATGGGCTATCTTCGTTTTGTTCACCGCGTGGAATCGAACCCCAGATTTCAGCGTTATAAGTCCTCAAACTTCTCGCTGAACCACTGGGTGATGTAACAAGTACATTTGTGGCAAAATATTTCTCGGATCACTAGCTTTATTCAAAACAATGTGAAAATATATAGGTTAATCACCATATAATGACTCGTGCTGAAAAAAAATGTTTTAAACCATGAACAAAAAACTATGTTATACTATTTTGCATTACTCTTCAGCAGATAATGTAATTTCTTACACTGAGACATGCTTACAGTCTTGAAAGGACACCTACTCACACCCTCATCTCCTGGCAAGTCGTTGGTCCTTGCAAGCTGTGTGCCAGGAGCGATTGGCCCTCTAGTGGTGACACTTTCTGCAGTCCAAGAGAATTGGGAACAGTATTGACAGCCATAGAGGTGTGAGGAAGAGGGAAACATACTTCGTGAGGATGAGTGGACGGTATGGCGGAAGAGTTGGCTCTGGCATGCAATAATTCCATATTCATTTGATTTAATTTTGGAAGGGGATCATCGTCTGCACATCCTGGTGACTGTGGAAAGAATATCTCACTACATACATATATATTAATAGAGTTATTTAATTGTTACAGAGTTATTATTTAGTAAGAAGAGGAGACACTCGATGCATCAACCATATTCGAAAGTTACTGTTGAGCAAACATGCTGGTTATAATACACCTAAGTGTTAATTGTTACAGAGTTATGATTTAGTAAGAAGAGGAGACACTCGATGCATCAACCATATTCGAAAGTTACTGTTGAGCAAACATGCTGGTTATAATACACCTAAGTGTTAATTGTTACAGAGTTATGATTTAGTAAGAAGAGGAGACACTCGATGCATCAACCATATTCGAAAGTTACTGTTGAGCAAACATGCTGGTTATAATACACCTAAATGTTAATTGTTACAGAGTTATGATTTAGTAAGAAGAGGAGACACTTGATGCATCAACCATATTCGAAAGTTACTGTTGAGCAAACATGCTGGTTATAATACACCTAAGTGTTAAATGTTTCCCATTAATAGAGCATAAGTCACTTAAACTCCCAATCTGGCCGAACTTCAAGAAATGTTATTGGAATTAACTCCGAAAACTCAGTTAACACCGATGGTACCGAACTGATGATTCACTTCAACCTAATCATTGTAGATTTTAGTTTCTGGTGAGTCTACAACAATTTTTCAAGAGTGTCATTTTTTATTTTTTGTGATCTTTCATATTGAACTTGCATGCTGCAAAGAAAAAGCTATTTATTTGTAGTTTGAATATATAATTCAGGCAACTTGTAAGTAAAATTCAAATACTTTTTTATTCTCTTTTAGTAAATCATTTAAACAAAGATTCTATATTACATTTGCTCAAACAATTGTGCAGGCAGAGATATAGACCAAAGTATTTTCTTAACATAATTTTATCTGTTGTTAATTGAAATGATGCAAATATAAACATATAGGTTAGTTTAAGAGTCACTGCTTTAAGAATAATTTGTCATTTTACTTCAAAATAGGGAAAGAGCAGAGCGTTGTATGTGTGAAAATAAAATCTTATCCAGTGAAGGTTACAGACAAAGATAAATAAGAAAAAGCTGAAGTATTACACAACAAAGTTCATACTCTATACTATGAAAGTACAAATAATCTAAGAAAGGAAATATCTTAGAAGACAGAGTGACGAGAAAAATCGACATAGAGGGACAAGACTATGATATTGTTTCCAAAATCAGAAGAAATAGAAAAGTGAGCGCTTCAAATTCTGTGCAGAAGCTAACTAAATACAATGGTGTTAAGGTGTCAGCACAAACAGATATAAAATACAATGGATGGTATTCAATGTTCGGGCTGCTAGGAAGTAGCTCTTTATCAGTGCAGTAAACAAAAAATAAATAAAAGCTTTTACCAAAAAATACTCCCCAAAGCCAGTACATTTTTTTTCTGCAAAGTCATTTGGTCAGGTAAGTCCAAATTATATTTATCTGGATAATATGGGGTGGTATTAGGAAAGCCACCATTAGGATATAATAAGGAGAGTCTGTAGCCCATCATGAAACATGGAAAAGGCAACATGAAAGTTTGGTTGTGTATGGCAGTTTCAACTGTTGATGAACATGTACTAATGAAGGCAGAACTAATAGAGAAATTTACAGGTATAATATAAAAATAAATATGAAGAGATCAGCTAAATATTTAAATGTAGGGTAGTTTCTGTACCAACAAGTTCGGGATTCTGAGCACGTATCTAAACCTTGTAAAAGACTGGTTGACGAAAAAGAAAGTAAACCGGATAAAAGTCTGATTCCAACACTCACCAGATCTCAATCCTATTGAACATTTGTGGGCTGAACTAAGCTCCAGACTGAATGGAATAACTGTTAAATCTAAGGATGAAGTATAGAAAATCCTGCAGGAAACATAGAACCGTATTGAACCAGATACTTGCAAGAAGTTGATGTGTAGTATGAAAAAAATGATCGCAAGTTATAATTAAAGGAAAAGGAGGTTCCACTAAACACTGAATATATAAAGAAATAACAAAATAAAAATGTAATTTACCCATGAATATTCAGTTGCCTGAATAATTGTTTGAGAACATCGGGCATAAAACCTTTAAGTTATTGTTCTAGAAGAAAAAGTGTTTAACTCTTATTTAAACGTTTGTGTGAATATAAACTCAATACAAATAAGTAGCTTCTTCTTTGAAATATTCAATATAATAGATTATCACAAATAATAAGAAATGTGTACTGATTTATAATATCAATTACTTCTGTTTAGTGTTTTGTGCAACATTGTACTTATTAATCTCTAAGTTATTTCAAATTATTTCAGTTTTGATCACAAGGTTTTAGTAAGAACATTTGCAAGAGAAAATAAAAACTACGTAGCCTGCACCTAGTTATTATCTTTATTAAGCCTAGATCTCTATATTAAGCCTAGATTCGTCAATCGCATCCTTATAGTGTACCTTAAACTGTCATTTATGTTTACAAATGAGTAATACTTGAACAAAATATTATCTTCTAAAACATTTAAAATTGTCTTCAGTTTACAAACGAATGGCCATTATAAATTGTATCATAATTGCCCGAAATATATTTTTTAAAATCACTGCAATGTAAATGGTGTGTTCATAACTTTCACCAATTGCTTTTTATGACGTATTTATGCCTAAGCTAATCGTACTTACACTCTTGTTCAAAATAATTTTAAAAAAGGTGGTTTATGTTGTAAAGACCAGAATACAAATAATATGCACGAATCACATCTTGAACAAATCGGAAACTTTATACATAGTTTGAATAACGATATATATATTTTTACTTCGAAACTTTCAGTTCTTATTTGTTTAAAATCATGCAGTTGCATTTCTCATACTCTCTGAGATAGGTTATAAAGTTTACATTGCATCAAAGATATGTTGTTAAGTTGCTGTGCTTTGAAAACTATGATCTATGTTTATTATTTTTTTATAATAGATATCCAATCTATAATAGCTTAGTATAATTCTAAGAAGAAACAATTATACTGTCGATTACAAAATTTTATGTTAGTAAAGAAAGATAGTATTATTGTAAACATGCATTTATGAGCAAATATAATCTGGTTAGGCAAATAATGTTAAATTACATTCACTAATTAATGACGAAGTAAAGTCTGTAGATATCCGAATTAAAACTTTTGGTTGTGAAATAATTTGTAGGTATAGACACATTAACTGTTTACACAACAAAGTTACTGTTTGAGGCATATCTAATTGCCTTGTATTCGTTGTGTATTTTTATACATTTGAATCAAAGCTTGTTAATAATTGTTACTACGGTTTACACACACATATATATTTACATGTGCGAATTTATGAGGTGTGGGTAAAGGAACATAAGGATATCAGTTCTTATTTACCTCGTAAATTCTTTTGTCCAGCTTAAAATCTCTAGGTTTGTCCTTTTGATAGTAAACTCCAGCAAAAATTAAAACGTTCAGAATTAAAAGAGAGCATCCAACAGCAATAGTCACGCTGAGTGTTGTGGAGTATATTTCTTCTTGATAAACAACAGTCTTAGATTCGTTTTTATTGGCTGACTCTGTAGCAATCAAGACGCTTTCCAGCACAGCTTGCGAAGTTACTTCCACGCTCGACTTCATCTGTGAAATTGAACTGCTTTCACTGGTTTCCGTGGCAACACTGTCTTCTCTAGTAAAAGAGACGGTGGTGACAACTTGAGTGGAGGATGAATGATGACTGCGTATGATTCCATCGTACGAGAAAGGGTTATTGTAATCATGGAGCCTGTGGTGCTCGCCATGAATATCTTCCGAGCCGACCCTGTTGAGAGCGGGTAGGAGATTTAACCAGAATGATAGTTGATGGGCATGATAATGGTCCCGCACTCGAGGCTTCATTCCTGTCAAGTGTAAACGCGGGTCGGTTCAAGATCTCTAAGTATAACGTAAACTGATCAAATCTCAATATTTAAATGAGCAGGTCTCCAAACATATTTATGCATTAAAAAACAGTTAAGCTTAAATTACTTCAGAGTAAGTAATTAAAGATAAAATAAAAAAAAATGTCGAGATATTTCGATTTGAACCACAAGTAGCAAAGTTCTCTAGTACTTACTTAAAGAATAATATTTTTTGTGTAGAGGAAGTCGATTAACTATTAAGTTCTATAAAAGTGAAAATAAAATAACTAAACAGTTTAGGAAAAACTATCAGTGTTCTACTAGAATATCATGACCATCTCAGAAACGACAACGCGTTGTAGGGGAGGAACAATCAAATTATTAAGCCTACATGAAGCGATTGAATCCTATATTATAATTGGTCAGATTATTTCCTTCGTTAAGAAATCCATAGGATGTCCTGCACATAGATATCATAATAATTGGATATATTATCTTGAAAGATTAATCTGAAGATACCGACTAATATATTTCAAAAAGTATGATATTAAGTAATCAAATATCGGTATGCTGCTAAATCTGCCATTATTCATGTTAATTTTGAGCCCTTCACATTCAAGTCTCTATTACGCGAAACCACGCAAGATTAAGCAGAAATAATATGTGATACACAGTCAAAAGATATATTAGGTCGCCAAGAAGTTAATGTCGCGTTTTGGAACACTTTCATTAACCTTTCCCCCCTCAAAAAAAAAAAAACGTACATAGTTAAACGAATTGCCTAAAAGTCACGTTAGTGTAGCCTGTATAACGTGTAAAGTTTAGTATATTCTAATCCCTTACAGTGATGGCACACGACGAGACACACATTCGGCATGT